CAGAACCTATGAATGGGGAGGAAGTATATAACAGGGTCAAATTTATAATTAATAAATGGGGAAAGGTGTCTAAGGGCAAGGAGGCAGAAATCCAACAATCTACAAGTGGAAGAGGTGGGAAGATAAATAAAAAAGAGAAAATCACAGAAAGTGGGTACTTCAGATGTGGGCCAGCAAAATAATACATACTGGAAGAAATTCAATATATGGTATAGACAGCTAAGGTATTGGCGCGACAATTTGATTCCACATTGTATAGATTTTATGCATGTCGACAATTTGGTATTCCCCCTGAAAATCATAACACATGTGGAATTCAAATAGGTGTAGATAGTAGTTCTATTACGGACGGTAGTCCTCTATCAGCTGCTAAATCGGTAGAAGTTTCCGCCGAACTATTCAGAAAAACACATTTCTTTGTATTGCACAATACATCTGAAGTACTCCCGTATATCAAGTAAGTTTTTTTACATGTATGTTTTTTTTGTTATAATATTAACATTAACGTATTGACAGACGACACTTGGATTTTTGCAACATCAACACCCTACTAAACGAAAGGCACAGCTAGAACAAGAGCACAGTAATACATTTGGTCATTGGTTACGAAAGGAGATATATTCATTTCATATATGTTTGTTTTTTGTTATGTATTTCTTTATATCTTAAATTCATTATCTAATTACAATTCAGGTAGAGAGAGAGTTAGGGGGCTGTAGAGAAAGTATAACAGAGACACTGAGATGGATTTCACATTGACCCAATAAGAACATTATTAAATACGATATATATGCTATCAATGGATATACTTTTCGTACAAAAGCTCGTGAAGGTAAAGTTTACAAAAACAGTGGGGTTAGTGTCGTTGCAACTGACACACACATCAGTAAAGAAGTTGTAACATATGCCAAAAACACTTATCATGGTGTTTTACAAGAGATATGGGTACTAGATTATCATTTTAAGCGAATTCCAATTTTCATGTGTGACTGGGTTGACAATAGAAATGGGGTTAAAAGGGATAAATTGGGGTATACACTAGTTGAACTAAAAAGATTAGGCCATAAAGGTGATCCCTTCATATTGGCCTCACAAGCACAACAAGTATTTTATGTCACAGACCCACTCGATCAAAAAATGTCTATCGTGTTCAATACACCTCCCAAAAATTACAGAGATACATATGAAGATGTAGATGAAGAATTTAGTACTGTAGTTCCTCAGAATGATAATATATTGCCACGTGTAGACACACTTGAGTTGCAGAAGGAAAATGATTATTTTCGTACTGATTGTCATGGTATTGTTATACGTACGGTATGTGTTTCTTAATGTCATGAATTACATTTGTAGCGATAATATTTTTCCTTCTTTTAACATTTAATGATCTTTATTTTTTTTTGTAGAAGGGAAAGGCCAAACCTTCATCCTAGCGTTACGTAGAGAATAAGAAAATGACAAAAAAATGACGATGTACTTTCCTTAATATTTTTTTACCATATTATACCATCAAACTATTCTGGTGTAATATTGTTATAACTCAAAGTTATTTTTTTTTCAGTTTTTTACTGTAATGGTGGATGATATGTTATAACATAAACTCAATGTTATAGTAATGTACTTTCGTTATGCAATGTTAGACAAAGTTGTATTCTTTTCATTTATTTATCATACTATTCTGTTAAAATAAGTTGTATTCTTTTCATTTTTAATGGTGTCTGATCTGGTGCAATTAAAAGAATAGATGACAAAAAGGGCAATTTGATCCTTTCTTATAACTCTTATTCAACACAACTATACTGTTATTTGTTTTTGTTTTTATTATTTTTAGTTTTTTTTGTTTTCTTCTGAAATTGTTTCTAACTTTACAAAACTGCAATTCATTTTTTTTCATTATTTATTACAACCCTTTAATTGCAAAATAAGCAATGTATTTTTGTAAAATGTCATGATTTAACTTTTTGTTCATTTTTAATTCTGCCAAATGATATCAAAGATAATTATGGTCAAATTTAAGAGTCTTCCAAATACAATAGTACAACCACAATAAACATTACATATGTGTCTATATTTACATATAGACACATATAATAGATGTAATCGTAACTAAATGGTACCTACGCACACAATGTTTGTTTCTTCTTAAAGCTAATTCATAATATTTTGACACACATAATAAATGATACATGACCATAAGTAACCAATACTAAGTTGTTTTAATTTCTTGCGTTAACTAAGTACAACTAGTACAGAACCGCCCTATGGACACACAAATATTTAGAGTGACCATATGTATCACCTTTTAGCTACTTTGTCTGTTATGTGGCTAAATAGGCACCAGGTTACAAACATACATAGAACTAACTCATGTCACGATACGTTAATCTACTGTCTCTCATAAAAAAAGTATGACAATCTTAATCGATACATGTGGCTGATTGTGACTTATGGCCTCAGTGGTCGAGTGTGACTAATATTTGTCACATTTGATATAATTAAGTGTGGTTAAAGTTTTGATTATCTATATAATGGCCACACAAACTAATTTAAATGTATCCAAAAACAGTCTCTAAATTTTTTTAGTGACCTTTGGCCACACTTTTAATAAAAAGTGTCACAGGCCGTTTTTCAGAAGAGTGACCGTAGGTCATTTTTGTACTAGTGGTAGATCTAGGGTTCTTTTGGTCCCTTTGTCCATAAAAATGCAAGCTTTGAGGTGTTTATGGGCTCATGCATGTGTTAAGACCTTTTTTAAGTTCTTTTGAGCTATAGAACCCTATTAAACCATGCATGCACGTAAAGTTGCCAACTTTACGTGATAAACCACCTTAAGGAAGTAGGATCTAAGTATTGGGTCGAAGTCTTAACCGAATAAGAGCTTAATGATGGAAGTTGGCCAAACTGGGGAGTACGTTGGGTGTACAAGCTGGTATGTTGCGCGTACAAGCCCCAAAGCGAGTACGCTAAGCGTACGAGCTAAGTACGCCCTGCGTCCTCAGCAGTGGGCTTCAGATCTTTGGGATTTTTGGTATTGGGCCCATGTTGAACCTTAGGAGTCTTGGGCCTTGTTGGGCCATCAGAATTCTATTTTGGGTAGATGTTATTTTATTGGACTCTCCATGAAGGAATTGGGCCTAATTTGGAAATTGAGCCATATTTGGGCTTTGGGTGATTATTTTGGAATTTGGGCCTTCTGGACAGTTGGTTTGGGCCTTGGCCTTGCGCCATGTTAGGTAAAGGGTAAAAAACGACTTCTACCGAAGTTTGGACTCTTAGTCTGAGTCGGGATCCAATTATTAATTGGATATTATTTTGTGATTGATAGCACGAAGATTTTTAGCTGGCTAACAACCAGATTTATCTGTGAGATTCAGCAGTCTGAGGTGAGTTTCCTCATTGTGTTTAGCGGGTCGAAGGCACCAATGCCGGCCCATGGCTTATTATGTTAGGATGTTGGATGTTTGCGTGACTCTTGCATGTGTATGCATTGGTATGTATGCCGAGTGGGGCTCGATGTCGGGCATGGCCCGATGACCGTATTGTAGGCTATTATCTTTGTGATTATTGCATTTGATAGTATGATTATATGTCTATATGCTTATATGTGTATCGGGCGAGGCCCGATGTTAGGCGAGGCCTGGTGATTGATAGATCTGTAAACCGAGCGGGGCTCCATGCCGGGCGGGGCCCAAGACCGGGTGGGACTCGATGCCGGGAAGGGCCTGATGAAGGGCGGGGGCCCAGTATGTGTTATTTATGTATGGTATATGGTATTTTGGGGAACTCATTAAGCTTTGTGCTTACGGGTTTCAGTTTATGTTTCAGATACTTCAGGATCGAAAGGAAGAGCCCAGGATGATTGCAGAGCACACACCACCTTTTTCCGCACATTGTGATTTACTTTGATATAATATGATGTAGTGACATACTTTGGTCTATTTGGATTGTAGGACAATGTTTTGAAGTACCGTTTTATTTAAATTAAAAATGAAATTTTTTGGTCTTATTTTTGGGATATTACACCAGTAATCGTGGTGAATCAAAATCCTTTAAGTTAAATTCCCACATGTAACGGTCTTGGGAGGTTCGTGTTAGCATCAGTGAGGATTAGACCCAGCTTGATAAGTTTCAAAGTATCTATATTACAATGGAGGAGGGGGTAGTGATTAAAAGGGTTCTTTTGATGGAAGGGTATTGTCGACTTTCAAGCTGTTAAGGAGAAATGTTGAAAATTAAGGTAAGTGGTGGGATCCATCTTATGTAAAACATTTTTTAATAAAAAATAATCAAATAAAACAATAAAAAAAGTTAAAAAAATATAATAACGAGGGTAATATAGTCGTTCAATTTCAAAGAGAGACCAAACACAACCAAACCATATCAGAGAGAGACTAAAGTCAACCAAAACATATTATAGAGACGATCCAAATTAAAAAAATAAGTTACAAACCAAACTTCAAATTACCTCAAACCATAGGAATGAATCGTGTATAACAGAGTATTTTTTGTCAAAGAGTTTGTACGGTACCAAGTATTTGTGGAAGGTGTCCTTCGGTCAAATGTTAAAGGTCAAAATCTCAAGAACAAATGAATAGTTTAAGAGTAGTGTAGGTAGTTTGTTGTGTTTATGGTTTTGAAAAAATTATTTAAATGTCAATTCACATGATAGAACTAGTTGATATATAAGGGCACTCTACGTTGTTACCAAATACCACACAAAAAAGAAAAACGGACACAAGCACAACTATCTAATAAATAATATATTAAACATATAATTGAAATAAATAAAGCTCTTTTAATAACATTTCAAGAATGAACTATGAATAAATAAAAAATTTAATCTGAAACAATGATGCCCACACGTCTCCCCTACCTAATGTACAAGAAGACCAAAGTCGTGAAAGCCATTGAAGCGGTAATCTTAGTTTCTCATCCTTATAAGTACCCAAGAATCATTTATTGTTCTTCACCCCAATTCATTTAAGAACTTGAATAGGAAAATGTCGATGACAAACAGTAAAATAGTCTTATTAGCAGTAGGGGTCATCTTCTTCAACCTCGTTGGTCACTGCTATGGTACACTCGGCTATGGTGGTCTCCAGTATGGGTTCTACAATGGCAAATGCCGAACTTCAGATGTTGAAGATATCGTAAGAAGGACGGTCTACTCCAAGTATCTCACTAACAGAAAATTGCTCCCGCTCTCATCCGCATGCAGTTTCATGATTGCTTTGTCAATGTGAGTTGATTTCATATCGTAATTTACTTGTACTTCCTTAAAGACTTCCATGTCTATCTATTGGTAGTGGTTTGATGCTGCTTGTCCCTACTAGTTGTTCTTTGTTTCTTGCTTCCTTTGGTGTACTCTTCCCAGATACTTGCTGGTTTTTTCTGTTGGTTTTCATTCTAACTTTTCATTAATCTAAAGGGTTGCGATGCGTCCATCCTACTAGACGGACCCAACACAGAGAAAACCTCACCCCCGAATTTAAGCGTTAGAGGCTATGATGTCATTGATGCTGCCAAAGCCGCGGTCGAGAATGTTTGCCCAGGATTGGTTTCTTGTGCCGATATAATCGTTATGGCTACAAGAGACGTCGTCTCCTTCGTAAGAAACAATAGCTTTTGTCCATTCACCAATATTAAATGCACTGCAAAAATAACCTTAAGATAATGTAATAAATGCAGAGCGGTGGAGCTAGATACAGTGTCCAAACAGGAAGAAGGGATGGACTTGTGTCTCTTGCACAAAATGCTCTAACCCTCCCACCTCCTACTTCTTCGGTGTCAAGTGCCATTCGAGCATTTGCTCTCAAGGGATTCACAGCCACCGACATGATCTATCTCCTTGGTAATTCACCAACTTAATTCGATCTTATATATCAATATTATATAAAGCATAAAAAGTTTGCTCAACGTGTGTGTGAATTGTGATGTACAGGTGGTCACACTATCGGAATAGCTCATTGTTCATTGTTTAAAAACCGTCTTTACAATTACAAGAACACTGGGAAACCAGACCCGTCCATGGATTTATCGCTGTTATCATCGTTGAGGAGTAAATGCCCTCAGAACACGACAGCTGATCCCACTGCCAACTTGGATCAAAACCCTTTTAGCTCTGCAGTTGTGGACAAATCTTTCTACAGTCAAATTATATGGGTAGAGGAGTCTTCAATTTGATCAAGATTTGGCATCAGACCGCCTCAGCAAGTCCACGGTTGCAGCCATTGCGCGCTCCTCCGATTTCAACGCCCGGTTTGGTCAGGCCATGGTTAAGTTGGGTGCCACCCAAGTTCTTACAGGGAAACAAGGGCAGATTAGGAAATCATGCCGAGCAGTCAACCTGCCAACTTCAACTTCTTTTTTTAATTGATTGAAAGTTGTATATGATTTTTAAACATTTTTTTCATATAAGTCCTTTTGTTTCACATATATTGTTATTGGTTTATTCATATGGCTTTTTGGTATTTATGAGCTAAGTATGTATTTTGGCGATTAAATATGTATTTGTGTGACTGGAATTTTGAAAATTGTATTAGAGATTACTCATTTTTGAATAATAAATTAAATCATGTACTCGCTTATTTCATTACTTTGTTGTATGTTAGCTACATCACTCTCACTTTATTTTCAATCGTTCATTTCATTACTCTCTTGTATTTAGATATCATTACTCTTATTTGGGTTACCTATAGGAGAGAATATGTCGAGAGAATATGACTAGAGTGAAGGCTTGGAACTCCATCATTGAGTTATTCAAAGCTAATTAAACTCTCAAAATGAAAGATTAAGGCGTTTCATTGGAGGCAGGTGCCTCTTTGTCAAATCCATCTTTGGTACCTCTGGGTGGCAAAGATGACAATAAAAAGATTGCAAGGATCAAATGAGAGTGTATGGTTTGCGAAAGGCATGACTTTGATCGATCAACCAAAATAGAGAGTTTAAGGTTTGCGAAAGTAAAAGTAGTTTTTGGATAGCAAAGTGTGTAAGACTCTTGGCGGTGAAGAAGTAAGTTCTAATACTGACCCATATACAGTGCAATGTGCATGGTATGTTCGTGCAATGAAAAAGAAAAACCATCATATGTGGAAGAATCACACGTTGGGTGGATGCACACAATTATTCGGATCCTGTAGAGGCAAGACAACATAAGTCTAAACTCTGCAACTAATCATCCACTCAATTGAAAAAGATATTGCTTATCCAGTGAAACATATATAGGCAGATATTAAAAATAGTCTAAATGTTGATGTTTCTTATTGGAAGGCATGATAGGAGAAAAGTTCGTAGAGATATTTATGGGAATTGGGAAAGTAACTTTGTAGAGTTACCCAGTACATTGCGACTTTTGCAAACTTCAAATCCTAATATTGTCGTGAAATGGTTTCATAATCCAAATGGCCCATCAAGTGTGGCAACATTTAAGTATATTTTTTGGGCTTTTGGACCTGCAATTAATGCATTTCATCTATGTCGACCTTTTTTTTCCATTGATGCTTGTCATTTGAGAGGTTCGTACAAAGGTTAAAATGCTTACTGTTATCATAAAATATGCCAACAATAATATATTACAAGTTTCTTATACCATTGTGACGAGGAAACTACACATAGTTGGAGTTGGTTTTTGTATCAGTGTTTAGACGTTTTGTTGCTCAAAACAGACAATTGTGTGTTATTCAGATAAACATCAAGGAATAGTTCATGTAATATGGAAAATCTAGAGAGGAAATGGAAAGCCATGAGAACCATCGTTTTTGCCTTCGACACATCAGAAGCAATCTCATGAAAAAGTACAAGAACGGAGGCTTCATCATTTTTGTCGGGATATCGGAAGCACCACACAAAAAGAAAGTGTAACACTCAAATCAGGTATTACCCTTGGAACCCTTGAAATTATAAATATGCATAATGGTCCCTTAAGTACGTTGGGCGTACTTCAGGGTACGCTTAGTGTACCATACATGAATGATCGCGGAGGGTCAGTACGTACGATGGGCGTACCAAAGGGTACGCGAGGCGTTACATGACGAATGTTGCAAACCCTAATTTCCGGACTTAAGACCTATATAAGCATCCTTATCTCATTTGAACCTCACC